GGAAGATCGGCCCTGAGCTAACATCTGCCAATCCTCCTCTTTTTGCCGAGGAAGACCGACCGTGGGCTAACACCCATGCCCATCTTCCTCCACTTTATATGGGACGCCGCCACAGCATGGCTTGCCAAGCAGTGCATCAGTGCGCGCCCGGGATCCGAACCGGGAACCCCAGGCTGCCGCAGCGGAGCACGCGCACTTAACCGCTTGCACCACTGGGCCGGCCCCCAGCTCTCTCATTCTTGATGGATGTTTCTCTCCCTTTTGGCAGACTTTCAGAGATTTATTTAGTTGAATTCAGCATGCACAGAATATAGGTTATTTTTATAAACATTTAGCTCTGCTGTGAGAGCAGCCTAAAGATGCCACAATGTAAGATGCCCTCTAAAGTAATCATGATGGAGATACCTTATGTATCTTATGGCAAGAACGGAGACAGCCTCTTGCCCTGCCTGTCCCATCTACCTTTGTGGTATCTTACATGGACATTCTTTTCAACTTGGCCCTTTCTTCTTGAGTGCAGGCACATGATATGGGAAGGAGGACACAGGAAGATGAGGTTGTTCCTCACGTCTGGTTGAATCATTTGCTTTGTTATTTCCGGTGGATGCACTAACCATAATTTTCAGCTTCTTGACTTTATGTTGGCTATTTTAAGAATTTTAATTTTATTACCTAAATGAAGAAACTGAGAGACAGAAAACCAAATCCTTCCATTATTTTGCACTCAGCCTAGGACAGCACCAAAAAATTCTAATTTTAAATTATCTCAATTTGTTGCCCTCAATTTTTTTCTAATACGTAGTCATGAGGACAAAAGAAAGGATTCAGGACTAATTGTGTGAACTTGGGCAAGTTACTTAACATTTCTGTGCCTTAGTTTCTGCATCTGAATCTCTTTCCTGAGCTACACAAGAATGCAGAATACTTAAATTCACATTTCATCCCTTGAGTTACATATTATTATTGTCTGATATTTTAATTCTGTCCTTAAAAGAAAAATATTTAAGAAAAATACCCACAAATCTGGAAATACTATTATTTATGTACATAGTGTTTGTTTAGATTGACTGACTCATGGTTTTCAAATTTATTTGTTCACTTTTTTTATTAGATCTCAGACTTTCTCTGATATTACTATTCTTCTTTCTAGAACACATCCATCATAAATTCCTTTAATTAAGATTTGCTAGGTGGTACAGTTTTGACTTATCTAAATGTCTTTAGTTCACTCCTATTCTTGTGAGATAGATTAGCCAGGCACTCAATTTTAGGTTGACTATTATATTCTCTCAAAACTCTGAAGAAAATATTCTACTGTGTTCTGACACCCTCTCCCCTTTTTTTTTCTTTTGGTGAGGAAGATTGGCTCTGAGCTAACATCTGTTGCCAGTCTTCCTCTTTTTGCTTGAGGAAGATGGTCCTTGAGCTAACATCTGTGGCAATTTTCTACTTTGTATATGGGATGCCACCATAGCATGACTTGATGAGCGGTGTGTAGGTCTGAGCCTGGGATCCAAACTTGCGAACCACAGACTGCCATAGCGGAGCGCGTGAACTTAACCACTACACCATGGGGCTGGCCCCCTGATATCCTTTATTTCTGACAGTTCTGCTCTCAGACTGACTCCTTTCCTGAAAAGGTAATGTGATTTCTCTCTAGCTGACACTAAGATTTTTTTTGTCTTTGGTGCTGTGTAGTTTCAGTTTTGTGTCTATGTGTAAATTTTTTTCTCTTTACTCTGCTTCTCAGCAAATAGTTTAAGTCCCCCATCCTCGACTAAAAATACGATTATGTATATTAGACTTTCTAATTCCTTCTCCTATATCTCTTAAAATCTTTTCATTTTCCTATTTCTCGTCTATGTTACATTCTAGGTAATTTCTTCACATTCTCTGCCTCCCAGTTTATTAATTCTTCCTTCACTATTCTATTATGCCATTTAACCTATCATATTTCCTTGATTACATTCCCAAAAGTTATATTTAGCTGCTCTGTAATTACGTCTTCTCTCATTGCTGTTATTTTTACGACCTCATGCTTTTCTTTAAATATTTAAATATTTTAAAATTAAACGAAATAGTTAAATATTTTAGCATTTCTACCTTTTAGAGATCTGCAAAGTTTTGGCTTTTTTTGTTTTTCTGTTTTCTCTAACTCATGGTGTTTCCCTATGTGTCTAGTGATCTTGGTTTTAAACTCCAATGTGTTTAAATTTGATATGCTGAAATTGCATGGCCCTTAACTGGTGATGCTTTCCTCCCAAAATTCTCTGCATGTGTTTTTGTAGGGAGCCGAGGGGTCCTACTGACCTAGGACCACTGTAGTGTCCCTTTAAAAGTCTCAGGTTTGGGCCGGCCCCGTGGCTTAGCGGTTAAGTGCGTGCGCTGCGATGCAGGCTGCCCGGGTTCGGATCCCGGGCGCACACAGACGCACTGCTTCTCCGGCCATGCTGAGGCCGCGTCCCACATACAACAACTAGAAGAATGTGCAACTATGACTTACAACTATCGCTTGGGGCTTTAGGGGAAAAATAAATAAATTAAAAAAAAAAAAAAAAATTAAAAAAAAAAAAAAGTCTCAGGTTTAATGTGGAATGCTCAAATTCAGTTCTTCCACTTTGCTGGAGTTTCAGAGGAGTCTCTTACTGAGCTAATGTGCATTTGTCCTCAGGGCCACCCAATTTAAGTATTTGCCCATGTTGTCCTGTTCCTGGCTCCAGTGAAAGCTCAATCCTATTTCTCAGGTTGTTATGACCCCTAAATTATAAAATTTAATGAACATTTCCAAAGAGCAGAGAGGACCAGATCAGTTTTTGGAAAACCAGATTACCTTTAATGGTTTCTCTCAGTGAGGCAATTCCAATAAAACCATACTTTCTGGAGGAAGTGTCTTCCTACACTTAACAGGAGATATTTAAGCAAAGTCGGTGCTTGAACAATTTCAAGAAATAGTCACCAGTATAAAGTGGGTGATCAAGAGGGAAAGAAGGTACTAAATTTCCTTTTCTGGATGTAAGAAACAACAACAGAATTGCTTCCTTAAGTTATGCCTCTTAAAATTAAAAGTTTATATTTCAAGGTGGTCTCTGGAAATACTGGTGGAATGTGAGTACTGTTTCTTGAACGCTCATAGAAACATCGCCATTTTGAGGACTTCTGCTTCTTGCTATGATGTGGTAGTTGCAGGTAAATCCATGCTTATTTGAGAACAAACAGAAAAGCTGAGTGAAAAAAAAACCGAAGCTATCAAGGCAAGACAACCAATTCCACGTGACTAGGTTCCCAGAGAGAAGAGACCTTCAGAAGAGTGAGCCAAAATGCTGTGACCTGTTCTTCCCTTCAGAGCTTTTATTTACTAACCACTGGCATGGAGTAAAAGGCTAAGAATCCAGGCAGAAGGATGCAGCTATTAGGAAGGCAAGCCAGCGGAGCTTTTAGCAATGTCATGAGGCTGATGACACAAAAATTGGAGTTTTGGGCTGCCATGGCAGCCAGAACTTGAATGTCTAACAGCCCAGTGAGAAGGGGGCAGTTTTCCCCTTGAGCAATTTGGTGAATTCTTAGGCTGCGATAAAGGCAGAAGATTAAGAAGCTAAGCAAGAAGCTACTGAAAATCTCGTCAGAGTTTTCTGCAGGGCTGAGAGGTAAAAACTTGGAGTCAGAACGTTCCAAGAAGGAGAGGTCATAGTAAGTACTCCAGACTCTCAATTGGGATTGTAGGAGCAGGCAATCCGGAGACAGAATCTGACAAAAACTGTATTCCACTTTTGAGTTAGTATAGATTCTGATTACATGAGGTCATCTTCCCCCAAATCATTTCACTTTCCTCCACAAAACTTTATTGCTTTTAATTTTGATATCTAAGCCCTTACCATAGCTCCCCAGATCCTGTACCCTCTGGCCTCCCTCCATCTACATATCTCCCTTTCTATACTCTCAGCACTCTCCTTTTCTGCTTGCTAGCTTTGCCAGTCATTTAGAATCTTAAGTTCCTCAGGCTTTCTCTCCCTGTGTTGGGTCTTGTATCTCTCTTCTTCTCTTTCATTATTTGAAAGTCTTTCCTCACTCCCTTATCATAGCCTTTAACACACCATACAGTAATAGCTGTCGACCTGTTTATATTCCCCCCATAAGTGAGAATTCTGTGAGAGGAGGAACTGGGTCTGTCTTAATCACTGCCATATTCCTGAAACTAGCTCAGTGACTGAGGTAGTGAACACTCCACAAATATTTGTTGAGTAAATGAAGCTTCAGGGAAGGGAGAAGATGATGCTTAGAAGTACACGGGGTACATTGACACCGACCTAGAAAACCCCACACAGTAGTTACATGCCAGATCCTAGATGAGAGAAATCACATCATATTTCATCTGGCACCTGTCTGAAAGGGAAGGAAAACCTCCTGCCCACAATGCTGTTGGATCTTTTGGTTGCTGACTTATGGGCTCTTCCAAAGGGCTCTCAAAGGTCCTGAATTGTATCTTCTCCAAATTTAAATACTTCTTCCTTTCAGTATTTATATATGGACAGTGGGGGGGAGGTGGGCAGTGTGTGAGAGACATAAAGTAAGAATTTCTTTGAAAAATTTATAATATGTATAGTAAAAGAAGCATTTCCTTGAACTCACATAAATACTATACTCCTGAAAAATAATTTTACCAGACAATAAACATAAAATTGAAATTTGATAAGTACATCATTAGCTTTTGTATTATAAGATGATCATCCAGAGATTATCCTCAGTGGTGACAGTGATTTCTTATTCATTCAATAAGTTCAAGATAGGATATCTGGTACAGCAACCTTGAAAGAACCTATATCATCACATAAAGTGGAAATTTAAGTAACTCATTGGTTATTGAGGCTTTTTCTATTTAGAACAGTCAAGTGAAACACATCTGAGTGTAGGGTGCCCTCAGAATCTTATTTCAACACTTAAGGCTTAGTTCACTCCATGATTACACACTCGGTGAGTAACTCTTCTCCCAATCAGTTACTTACCTGGTCGATTTGGCTTTTTAGCCTTTACGTGATTAGCTGTAGAAACAGCATAGGACGAAGTGAAGGATCTGCTTTTGGTGAGGGTCATCATCACTGGGTTATTCCAAGAATCAGGACCAACAGAACTATAAAGACACAGCACAAAGAAAAATGAAGAAATTATTCATCAATTATTGGGGCAGATCTTGCCAGAACCCAACCATCATTTCCATAATAGACTTGCCACCTGAGTCACGGTCCAGATTCAGTGACAGAATCACTTTACTTCTAAATGACTAAATAGGTTTTCTAAGCTCAATCTTTGCTGCAAGGATACAGCAGTCATGCATCAAGCATACTGGGTTACCAAAAGAGGAAAGATAACTTTCCTATTTATCCAGTTAATAGGAACCAAACACTTTCTCATTTTACTTCTATAATCATGTTCCTCACAGATTTTCTAAAAACCTGGCAAATTAATTGGTTAAGATGCAGGTGAACTTATATTAGTTAGGCATGGGATGAGCTTTCCTTCTATGGTCTTTATTAATTATTAAGCTTGGTGTATCTAAATTAAAAAACTAAGTGCTTATAAAATCATTCAAAGAGAATATTCTTTGTAGGATTTCCTTGTGAAGGAAAAGGTTAGCAACAGGCTTTTAGCCTACAATTTATTTTACTGGTGACACTGTGGAAAGAAAGGGATGATGAGCCAAATCCCCTTGTAAACATGCTAATGATGGACCTGCCACTAAACACACTGATGCTATTTACAAGGAGAAACGTAAGTGAGTGGACAGCGAGTCTTCATGTAGGGAATGCTTTTAGCAGAATATGCTTGGTCTGTCAAGGTTATTATTGTAAACAAATCTGGAATTAACAGATCTATGGAAGGTTGGGATGGAGAATGTTACATAGCCATGTAATTAATGGGATATAAATATTGGAGATGTTCCAAACCAAAAGTTATCTAGATGCATTGCTTAAAACCTTACATGTTAAATCTGAAACAGAATCCATTGTAATTTGAGAGAGAAAAGAATTTAGGAAGCTGTGTTGACAATCTTGTACTGGTCTAAGGGAAAAGTCTATGTTTTGCTAACACCTGTGTGCTTTCAAACATTAGTAAATTTGGTACTGGGTAAAATCTATAATTTGCTTGAGTATAATTTGACAATTTGACCCTCCGTCAACCTTAGATTGCACTGCAAGCAGGACGTACCTGGTGTGTCTGAGTGGCTTGTTGTAAATAAACTTGAAATTGGTGGAATTATGGGGTCATGAATAGGTGTAGACTGTCCTGTAAACTGTATAATTAATGAGGTATAATTTGGAGGTGTTCCATAACCAAAATGGCTTCCTCTGCGCAAGCAACATTATGAGTGCACTGCTTAGAACCCTGCATGTTAAATCCAAACCAAAATATATGCTAATGTGGAATAAAAGGACTTTTAGTTCCAGACCTTTTGAAGGGAAGAATGCTGGGCATGTGCACTACCAATATAGACTATTGTCTGTATCTTTTGATTAATAGTAAATTCAGTAATAAGTAAGATCTATAATTTATGTTGAGTCTAATTTAACCCTCTGACACTTATGTTACCTCATTTCTTTGTTTTCATTTTCAGAATTTTCTTCAATTGTTGACCCAGGTATTTTAAAACTTCATCTTTTATATTACTTCTAATAGCAGTTTACAAAATATATATCTCATAAAAGAGACATTTGAAATATGGAATGAACTCCAGCAAGTATCAAATACAATTAAAGAAAGCATAAAAAATAATATTTGTTTCATTCTTAGAATGGATATTTGTTTCCTTCTTAGAAATCTTATTCTAGGTATTTCAGAAATGCCTAGAATTTTGAAACAATAAAATCACATGAAACTCTGAATCCAAGATCGATAACTACACTATTCCCTTATAGTGCTATTCCCTTTCAACTTCTTTTGTTGGAATGATTGACTTATAAGATTTACTCTGAAGAAATTTTATGTAATGTATATGTGGCCTGGGAGTTTTAATTTCTCAGTACATTATACAATGAATAGGTTATTAGTTTTTTATGTAGACTTTTCAAAGTTAAAACCTTAACAATAACTGCATTTATTTTATTTGGTATATTTATTTTTTAATATCTCAAAAAGTTATATTATGAAGGCTACCTCAAAAACTGCCTACTACTATTTTATTCTTTTTAATAAAAGCACTTAAAATATGCTCACTTTGAAAAGTTCTATAAAGTACAATAACAGAGTATCTTTAATGTATGGAGAACTTCAAGATAAAAGTCTAGCCATATATCCCATTCTTAATATAATAAATATTAATTTATTAAAATATATATTGTTACTAAAATAATAAATCAAAATATTTATGTATATGTGTCTATGTGTGTATATATATATGCATTAATATTTACTGGCACTTTCAACTATATTGTTTGTGTGATCCTTGCAATAGTTTTCAGCTTTGTATTGACTCTCAACTTCTTGATTCCTTTTCAGATCTCATGAACATGTAATAATTTGGATTTTGGAGAGGAAATTAGCTTGGGGAAACCTTTGCCTGGTCTCCTCATGCCGACACAGCAGGGGAAAACTGTCCATGAGTCTACCGTGGAAGATCTCAACCCTCCTCCACAAAAGTGAATTTTACAACCTCAGTTCTACCCATAACAACTTCATCGCAGGTCCTAAAAGTCTTCCCAGGTCTAACAGTTTCTTTTACTGAGTTTACAGCCTCCTCTGTGTCCAAGAGGCAGAGGCAAGGGTTAGTTCCAAGGCCAACTTGGTACGATTAGGGTAGAATTTATTTCAGACTTTTTTATTTCTCTCAAGCCTATTTTTTAAAAATAACTAGTGGTATTCTTTCACCTAATTTACTTTCCAATTGTGCCATCGTTCCCCTTTTTCCTATAAATTCCTTGTAGTGGTACCAAGGCTCAGACTAAGGACCTGATTCTCAGGACATGCATCTCTGAGTGGTAGGGCAGAGATCCTTCTGATTCTCAGCCAGTGTCCTTTCTACTCAGCTGTATTTAAAACTACCCAGGAGTAGGTCATCCAGCTGTCTACCTAACAGGATAGAAGCTGAGGACTGTTTCTAATTTTCACCTCCCACTCTGGTTCATCTTTTGATCACTGCAGTCGTCAAAGAGCCTCAAGAAAAGGAAAGGCACGGAAAGAGGAAGAAATAAAAAGGCGGAAACTACAAGAGCTAAAACTCAAATCAGTTTTGAAATCAATCAGCAGTTTTGACAACAGGTCTCCTAAGTGAAGAAGGCTTTAACTTTGGTTTATAATCAGAGCTGGAGATGATCTGTGGCTATCTTTCCACTATTTTCACCCACGACAAAGAATAAGTCAACTGAAACTAGTTGTATTTAATGGTGGTACTGTTGCCACTTATGTATAGTTTTCCCTTAAAGGGCTCAAATTCTCTTCAGAATAAATTTCATTTCTTCATAATGGTGATAAAGTTGTATCACTCTCAGATTTTATATCAGGACTTTTAATAGGACAGTGAAATTAAGGAATAGTAAGTTAGTGGAAAAAAGTATATCGTTAGTGGAAAGTTAGTAGTAAGTTAGTGGGGAAAAAAGACATCTATAAGTATTTTTAGGACAAACAGAAAGAGTGGGATCATATGCTATTCCTTATCTATTTTAAAAATATCTGAATATGAGTATTTGTTTCATAAAGCAGAATGACAGATCCTCAGGAGTTAGGCTCATTAAAGTTCTTGAAACTCTTTTCCTCATGATGATTTCAATTTTAGCCCCCAATCTCATTTGATTAAGAGAAGAGAGGAGTAGAAGAAATGAAATTTGACCAGAAGTAACAAACAATAACAGAAGAAAGGAAACATTTAAGAATGCATGAATGAATTTTTGGTAGAGTTATTCTATGGAAAGAAAATCATAGAGCATTAATTATACTATGACAGGAATCTTGGCAAGGTGGGTTGGTAAAATAGAAAGCCTTTCTAAAGATACACACTGAGAACATACTCATTTTCTTAAGCAACAAATATACTCATTTTCTTAAGCAACAAATATTTAACTATAATGCACTACCACTTATCAGTATTTGCTGCTGTAGAAATTGACAATGGTCAATATTTTCAGAGGAAAATATCACCAGTGACTTATAACTTCAAACTTTAGGAAATGTTTATGAAACAGATTGGGTAATATCCACCTGTGGTGGTATTTAGAAGTTTTACAAAAGTCCAGGTAATAAGATGGAGGGGAATTACACTGATATGTGAAAGAAAGAATCATTTGAGTTTACTTCTGATTCTATAGGTTTATTAGACTATCAGTGTTAATATGGAAGAAACCAATTAAATATATTTTTAATCATATTTTCTTTTAAGCAAAGTCAGCCAAAAATTCTTATGATTTGAAAGGTTTCCATTTCTCTTCCAATCTCAGAATGGTGCTTTATATATACTCAAGGCCAAGATCAGGAGAAAATTACTTCTAATATTGCTGTTATGTAGTTCAACAAAGATGTGATTATTTTTCAGTCATTAGGTCATTAATAAAACTGATGAAAGTGCTTCAAAACCCTGAAATCATATGGTAAATGTTCTCATAATTATTGAAGTCATATAAAGTATGCTATTTTTCTTCTAAATAGAAAAGGACAAACACAGTAGCCCCCTTTAAAAGCACGTCTTTCATGATGATGTTTTCTTCAAAATTCCTTCTAGATTTTAACATTATCTTTCCTTTAATTTTGGTAATTCTGGCTTTTAAGTCACTTTGTAAAATTGGAACTAATATACTTCAAGTTTACTCTATTTATTTATTTATTTAATTTATTTATTTAGTGAGGAAAATTGGATGTAATGTATAGCATAGTGACCCGTCCTCCTCTATTTTGTGTATGGGATGCTGCCACAGCATGGCTTGATAAGTGGTTAATAGGTCTGCACCTGGGATCTGAACCCGTGAACCCTGGGCTGCCTAAGTGGAGTGCACCACTACCACCAGGCCAGCCCCTCTACTTTTATTTACTTATTTATCTATCTATCTATCTATCTATCTATCTACCTACCTACCTACCTACCTATCTATATATCTATCTATCTATGTATCTATCTATCTTTTGTGAGGAAGACCAGCCCTGAGCTAACTAACATCCGATGCCAATCCTCCTCTTTTTTGCTGAGGAAGAGTGGCCCTGGGCTAACATCCATGCCCATCTTTCTCTACTTTATATGGGATGACGCGACAGCATGGCTTAACAAGCGGTGCCCCTGTGCGCGCCCGGGATCCGAACCGGCGAACCCCAGGCTGCCACAGCGGAGCACCACGCACTTAACTGCTTGCACCACCGGGCCGGCCCCTATTTATTTTTTATTGAGATATAATTGGCATATAACATTATATCAGTTTTAGGTGTACAACATAATGATTTGATATATGTATATATCATGAAATGATCACCACAATAAGTCTGGTTAACATCCATCACTACACATAGTTACAAAAAAATTTTTTTTCTCACGATGAGGACTTTTAAGATCTCTCTTAGCAACTTTCAAATTCGCAATACAGCATTATTAGCTATAGTCACTATGCTATACATTACATCCCCAGGACTTATCACTTCAAGTTTGTACCTTTTGACTCCCTTCACCCACTTTGCGCCCCACCCCCTCGCCCCCGCTGCCTCTGGCAACCACCAATCTTTTCTAAATAAAGTCTAAATTACCAAATATTTGACCATATCTAGGTGCTCTTAGGATGATGATCTACTTTCTGATCTGATCTTCTGTCTTTCATATAATGCTAGGATAGCTGGTCTGGTGGGCCAGGGGAATCTAACAATCATTTGCAAATGTCAGGTTGGGTACCTTTGATTTAAGGATTTCAATATGGATCTCAGTCTAGGTAAAATCTTGCCTACCTGTATTCTGGGCTCAACCCTTCTCATCCAAAGAAATACTGGCAGGCATCACACCTCAAGTCGCTGTCCCCATTTATATTTAAGGCCACACAACATAATTTAAGCCTAAATCTCTGATGTTAATCCCTATACTGCTCTGCATTTAAACTATACACCCTTTTCATTTTCAAAGCTGGCCTCCAACCAACTGTACTTGGTTGGGCCTTCCTTCCCCTGTAATTTATAATTCCTTTTTGATAAGTAACTTCTCTAATAGATGTGAAACCAACTGGAGCATTGCCTGACCTGGATGAAGGTGATTCATGTAGTTTCATGCTGGCGCTACGGTCCCTCCGTACTGGGGCAGGCTCCAAAGTGGGTAGACCTGTGGCTGAGGTGGTGGTTGTCCAAGTCGACGAAACTCGTCTCAACAAACCCGGGGGCAAACTCCTTCTCAGGCGCTAGGAAGAAGGAGTGTTGATTTTATTATTAAGCATATTTTCTATCACTAACTTCTATGTATTATAATGGAAGAAAATGGGTTTTTAATTGGAAGTGAATTTAATAAACCATACTGGTTTAATATTACCTATTTAAAATTTGGGTGCTCAGAAATTCAATAAAAGGCTCTCTGGCCAAAATGAATGAGGATTACAAAAATAACACTTTGGGATCTTCATTTCAATGATTACATAAATATAGGATTATGGGAATGAGAGTCAATTACCTTTGGAATAATTTTTTTTTTTTTTTTTTTTTTTTGCTGAGGAAGATTTGCCCTGAGATAACATCTGTGCCAATCTTCCTCTACTTTATATGTGGGACACCACCACAGCATGGCTGGTGAGTGGAGTAGGTCCGCACCTAGGATCTGAACTCGTGAACCCCAGGCTGCTGAAGTGGAGCACGTGGAACTTTAACCACTGGGCTGTGGGGCTGGGCCCTGGAATAATTTTATAGTTATATTAGTTCAACAGGATTTACGCACCTATACACACATATTATATTAGTTATTATGAGCAGAAGTCTTTCCTCAAAAGTCACTTGTTTGGGGCCTGGATTACTTTATATCATCTTGCACGACAGTCTCTATGCCAAAATGTTCCTTGATTTAATTTTAATTTCTTGATCTACAAATGACAGGACCTAAGTGTAAGAGTATAACTCACAAAATGCACCACCTCTCTTGTGGTTAACATGACTTAGACATCAGGCATAGGAGTAACATCATCAGTATCAACTCCTCTTAATAGAAGACTCTGCTGGTTGACCTGTTCCTTCCCCTGCCATACCCTAGGCAGGATGCGTGACATCATGAGCACCAAGGCGAGATTCTGGGCTCACCAGGAGGAGCACCAGCACTCTAAAGAGGGTCTTAAACCTTAAAAACTAAAGTGAAGGTATTTTAATACAACTATAGCAATAGTTCTAACAGGTAGAAACTCAACTCTTTTATTTGTGGCTAGTAACTCCTAGTAGACCAATTGTGTAGTTTACAGACGCATTCTGCTCTTCTGAAGACGGTAAAAACTTTTGAGACATGAAGTTCATGGCATCTTGGGATTCAAGAATAGCTCTGACACTAAATAGTTTCCAGTATCTCTTAAAGATCTGAATATGCATCTTAGAAGGTAATTCAATAGAAAGTGAAAGGGTCAAGCACTGTAAATACCAGAATTATTGCCTGTAGATCTGTCACTGACTTCATGGCTATTTTGAGACCCAAAGGAATCAGTTAATCTCTCTCCATTCCTTTACTATCACATCATGCTTAGCCACATCTTTCTCAAAGACCTAGATGTTTGAAGGTAACTACACAAACACCTAATTGACAAAGTTGTGTGGAGAACACATTCCTGAGTCAAGAGACTCACAATAGCAAGAGTAAAGATGTTCCTGACTGACCACCAGCTCAAGGGGATGGCTGCTTGTTTACTAAATAGATCACTGTGCTGGTTGTACCAGAGACCACTTAAATTCTGATTTCTTTTTTTTTTTTTTTTTAGTCTTTAATATGACTTGTTTTGAACTAATACTGAGGTCTAAATTGGGTGCAGGATTCTATCCTCTACAGCTTACTTTTGTAAAACTCTTATATCTTATATGTAAAAAGAAGGAATTATACAAATCACGAAGGCCATCTTTTACTTTAAATAATTCAAAATCAACTAAAACTATTCTGAGTTCAAAACTTGTTGGATTTGGGAAAGACATGAAGGTACTATGAAGAATATCACACTAAGAAATCAAAGAGCGAAGAAAACATTTCAGAAGGAAATGGATTTTAAACAGAATCCACACAAAATTGGGAGCAGGGATTTTTGCCTGTTTTGTTTTGTTGTTTTTTTTCTTTTTGTGAGGAAGATTCACTCTGAGCTAACATCTATTGCCAATCTTCCTCTTTTTTTTTTTTTTTTTTGCTTCAGGAAGATTAGCCCTGAGCTAATGTCTGTGCCAATCTGCATGCCAATTTTGCATGTGGGTTGCCACCACAGCATGGCTAGATGAGTGGTGTAGGTCTGCACCTGGGATCTGAACCCACGAACCCAGGCTGCCAAAGCAGAATGTGCCGGACTTAATCACTACGCCACGGGGCTGGCCCCTTGTTTTTTTTGTGTGTGTTGCTATATCTTTATCCCATAGAACAGGGCTTGGCATATAGAAGCAAAAACGTCTGGAAAGTCTGAATAAAAAAGGTAACGTAAAAAGGTAAATTTTTTATTAACAGAAAGTGATCTAGTATAAGGACAGGAGTCTTTATGTTTAAATTTTTATTACTTTGGTCAGCTGGATCAACACATCTTTGCAGAGTCACTGATATGAGTCTGCATATGGGTTTGGGGTGACAATAAAGACACCTAGAAGATAATTAAAAGAAAAAGTTAAACCTTTTCAGGAGTATGTCATTAATACCTACCTTGGGAATAGCCAGCTTGTCTTTTTCAGAGCTTTCTTCAGAATCAGAACAGGTGTAGTTTTCACTGAAGGAAACGACGGGATTCACTCTGGGCTTGTGAATTGCCTGGAAAGTGAGCTGGGTGCTGAGCAGGTTGCTCACTGCCCTCAAGGACGTACACACATTGGGCGGCAGAGAAGGGTCTGCCAGGAGGTCAGTAATGAGGCCGTGAGCCTCGCCCATCACGGCAATATCCACAGTAATACTGGTTCCTGAAGACTGAGACATCAAACAAAGGAATGGTCAAGTAAGAAAAGGCCTAACTTGAAGGCACCGAGAATAAAATTGGGCTTTTTCTGAAAAATGGACTGAGTTGACTCTTGTGGGTTGCAGTAAAGTAACATTCAAATCACATTTCTGTTTCAAATTTTCCCCAAATTTGTTGTGGCTTTTGCCATTTTTGTATTCATGGCACATTTTGTAATGCTAGAGCTTGTGGAGGGGACGACATGTTTGAAGATATCAAAAAGATAAACATTAGTTTTTAAAAGGCATGAAACTTCAGAGAACTGGAAAAAACTTCATATCAATCACTCCTTATGAAGAGTTCAACATTTTAATGTACATTATTTAAGAATTCATTCTAAAAGTAACATTGATATACTATAAAATTTTAATTTTAGTAATATTTTAATGTGATATTTGAACCTGGTATGTGGTAATTATTCAACTAATATTAGAGAAAAGCACAAAAAGCAACTCAATTTGTGTTCAAATTCACACACTGTCCCTCTTCTTGTGCTTGGTAAGAATAGAAATTTCAGTTCTAGAATTCTGTGGCACATCTGTCATATTCTGCCGAACTGCCTATCAGATTCAGCGTCGTTACTCTATATTGAAGAAATGAAGAGCACAAAAAACACGACAGGAATGTTCCCCATTCTGCTGGTCAGGCGAGAATACAGGCAGGAAGACGTGAGAGCAAGGGAGAGCACAGGCAGAGTCAAGGCCAAGAGGGTAGAGGAAGCTTGAAGATGGCGGCACGCAGAGAACTGTTCATATTAGCATGTTGCCATGGCGTGAGCCACAAGGAACCCACATAACTTTAAAGGGCATAACGCAGTTAGTGACTGGGTGCGGGTTCTGGAGCTAGGCTATTTACACCCAAATCCTGACCCCTGACCCTACCACTTTCTATCTGCATGATCTTTGTCCAGTTACACAGTTCTCCTTGCTGTGATTTCTCCCTCTGTAAAATGGATATAGTAATAGCCCCAACATCAGAAGGTAATTATAAAAATTAAAAGGGATAATGTATATAAAGCACTTAATATTGTGCTGGCAATTGTAGGTGTTCAATAATGATAATGATATAAATAGGAATCATAATTCTGGAGTTTTTCCATAAGAGGCTATTAGAAGTTTGGCTATGTATTTGGAAAAAAATAATGTTTAATCATTCACAATAGACTTAAAAATAGACTCCAGAGAGATAAAAAAATTTAAATGTACAAAATTATAACAGTATTAAAAGAAAGTCTGGGGGACTATTTTATAATCTTGGAATTAGGAAGACTGTCAAAAAATAATATGAATTCATAAACTGTCAAGGAAACATCTGACAGATCTGACTAAATAAAGACATAAACTTCTACATAAGAAAATATGCCATAAACAAAGGTTAAAAACAAACAGTCGATGAGAAAATGTTTGCCACACAGAGAAGATAAAATATATCCAAAAAAAGAGTTTCTAAAAAAATCAATAAAAGACAAACTTGGATAAAGAGACTGAATATACAATTCAAACTGTAATCAAATATATAAAAAGCTGCTTCCCTCCCTAATATTTAAGATGCAAATTAACATAATAAAAACAACTTTTACTTATCAAAATGGCAAAATACTAAAAGACTGATAGCATCAAGTATTAGTAATGGTTTGTGGAAATGAGCAGTGATTGAAATGAATCCAATATTTTTGGAAGGAAATTTTGCTGAGTGTATCCATTTGTAGTGTATTTTTAAAAATTTTTTTGCATTTTATTTATTTTATTTGGGTATTTTATTATTTATTTATTTTTCTCTCAGCTCATTTTTATTTTATTTTATTTATTTATTTATTTAATTTATTTTCATTGTGGTAACATTGGTTTATGACATTGTATAAATTTCAGGTGTACATCACTATACTTCTCTTTCTGCATAGATCACATCATGTTCACCACCCAAATACTAACTACAATCCATCACCATACACATGTGCTGAATTATCCCTTTCCTCCTCTTCCCTCCCCCCTTACCCTCTGGTAACCACAATCCAATCTCCGTCTCTATGTGTTTGTTGTTGTTTTTATCTTCTACTTATGAGTGAGATCATACGGTATTTGAGCTTCTCCCTCTGACTTATTTCACTTTGCATAATACCCTCAATGTCCATCCATGTTGTCACAAATCAATTTGCAGTTTAAATGTATGTATATACTGCAATCCAGCAAAACAATGTAGACATCTACTCTAAAGAAAAACTACAAATATGTAAAAATATAAGGATAAGGACACAAAGGGTACAGCAGTGCTCTCATAACAACAACCAAAGAATGTGGTCATAAATGCATATCAATAGAGAAATTGTAAAAAAAAAAAAGTTGTCTTATCACTATATTATAAAGTAGTATGTACTTGTTTAAAAGATTTGGGTGGATCTATAAATAATTACTAGGAAAAATACTCATAAAATATTGTTCAGTGGGGGGAAAAATATGTCATAGAAAAAGTGAATATGTATTTTTTTAATCAGAAAAATACGATAATTATGAAAACATCCAACACCTGTGAAGATATCTACTCCTGAAATAACTATTAGTAATGGGCAAATTATTCTGTAAAGCTTCATATATGTTATGTCTTTTAGTACTAGAATAATAAGAATAGCAATAACAATGATGGTGGCAGCTGATATTTATTCAGCATAAGACTACAAAGTAGGTACTCTTAATAACTTCGTTTCTATTAGCCAAAAGTAACTTGCCAAAATCAGAATCTGATAGCTGGAACATGGAAACACCAGACTGCAAACAAAAATACTCTGATTCCATGGCTCAAGTGCTGAACTAGTAGGTCAAAATAAATACCGAACTTTTTCATCTGATGTTCTTAAATATATCTGTAATTATTTAATGCTTTATTTAATCATTGTGCCATGTTTTTCGGCTTGTAAGTCCAAATATCTATTATGAACCAACATGAAAATTTAAGTGTAATATTGATAGTTTTAGGATATATAATTATGCATATTTCATGTGTACCTACATTGTTAACTTCAAAAATGTTCATGGGAAATGCCACTGAACTAGGTTAACATTCTCTCTTAGAAACGTATTTTCAAGTGCATCTCTAATTATTATGCTTCTGAAAACCTTACCCCGTGTGATCTTTTGAAACAGTAATAATTATTCCTACCCATGTTGTTCTAGTAAACTTAAACTAACAAGTCACTGTGCAGTTTCCATAAAAGAAACTGAAATTTTAAGTCAAACTTTGTTTTCAGAACAAAAAATATTAAGATTTGACAATGAAATTAACAGTTTATGCTCTAGTAATTAATAATTAAAGAGGTTTTCTCAAAATGTTCTTAGTATATAAAACTTACAAATCTGAAGAAAGAGTAGAACATGTTCATTGAAAATTAGAATTAAATTTTTAGTAAATTATTGATGAGAGAACAAGTTTACTTTATAATTCTCTAATATTATGTTTTTATAATACATTTTTTTAAACTAATGGATATATTTCTTATATACTCAGAAAAAAATATTAAAAAATTTTAAAGTAACTTTAAAATAGAAACAGAACTGAAAACATCCTTATAAGTCAATGTTAGTGTTACATGAGAATTTAGAAAATAAGCACATTATGCATTTCAGTGCTACTAATGCTATAGCTTTTGTGCAAGCAAAGGTCTTCAAGTGAAAACAAAAGTAATATTTAAGCCAACAAGAAGCAAATTATCCATATTGGAATTGGTTAAGAAACCAAAGTAAACACTTCTGTTGGAAAAACTCTCCCTACTATTATTAAGTCAGGTCTTTCCTTTACTGGTTTTCTGAATCAAAAATACAATTGTATAACAGTCAAAAGTTGTATCACATAAGAAGTTATCACCACTTTTTGACTCAAATAACTAAAGGCTTCAATGAGGCATGAAATCTAAAAGCAACAATCAGATTTGTTTGCCACCAACTTGCCAAGACTAACCACACATGAAATGCTGAAAGACTGAAGACAGATGGGCCACTATTTCAATAAACAACAGACAAGATATCAAGATGTGGGCACATCCAGGCAGTCACTGTAAAGGAATTTCAGGGGAGAAGAGCTTTGGTTGATGGTAGTTTTTTCATCATATGATACAAAAGATGACACAATGGAGTGACTCACACAGAGGGTATTTCCACACCTATTCAACTTGAAAAATAATATAATTAGATTTCTAGGTATACCAAATAATACTCAGAAATATTTAACTGGTGAAATCTTAGACAGTGACAATAAATACTAAAGGTTAAGTTTATATGAAAGCTGCTTGAAAGGAAAGCCTTAAGCTAACAGCCTGAAATCATCTCTGAGTGCAGTAATGAACTATACTAAGCATAAAACCACAGTTGAGTCTTTTTACAGCGCATATGACCAAACAAATCTTTTCCTTAAAAAAAAGTGACCAAGCAATAAAAAACTTCTACTTTGCAAGCTCTCCTTATAATAGAAATATTTATATTTAACATTTAAGAAAATGCAAGTATAATTCCCTAGGAACTACTTAAATGATAACCAAATTTGGATTGCCACCTTTAAATAGAAAATATAGAATTTAACTCCGATAAACAGTAAAGTTTTATATATCAAACCAAAAATAACGGATTCTCTTGGTAAATCCACTTCTTTTCAAGGCACCCAAGGAAGATGTTTAACCCTTCCTTTCCCCCTTTATGTCCTTCTAGTCTATTCCATCATCTCCAGGAAGTACTACTTAATGTTGGCTTTAGACTTTTACAAATGTAAATGGCCTTGCTATAGCATGATCTAGATTGTTTCCAAGTTACTTTACTCATCATAAACCAAAGGCCCAGAAAAATCTGGAGTTATAGAACAAAAGTTAAAGAAACAATAACAAATACACTTATAATCAACATTAAACCTAACTTCTAGACTAGGCATGTATCAATCAATTCAATTATAGAAAATTTGTTTTCACTCTTACTACTACTGTGCTAAAACTTTG